TTGTGAGAAGAGAGAGATATATATATATATATATATATATATATATATATATATATCCCCTTTTGCTACTAGCGTATGTATCTCGAGATTTCGGTCCGAAAATGTGAAATCTCACATTAGTTTAGACAGATTCCAGCATCATAGGATAAAAAAGTGGTGCATATTTTCATACTCATGGCATGTTTTACTACGCCTGTAAATGCAAAAACAAACTTTCTCGCTACGAAATGGATCAAAGCCAAGCATTTTACCAAACCCAAAGCAAACGTACCGGATGAAATCTCGGGTTTACGAGGGTCGAGGAGGGCAGCTCTGTCATGAACGGGAGATTCCAAAGGCGAAGATGAAAACCTAAGTTTCTGGGCTCTAATGGCGACTAGAAGGGGAAGGGAAAGCATGAAGACAAGAAGAAGGAAGAAGGATGTCTGAAAGGATCGGGACAGACCCAGAACGTTTTCGAGCAGAATAATGGACATGAGATAGGCGACGATGATCAGAGAGATCAGAGAGAGACAATCCAAGTGTGTCTTGTCGCTTTTGTCGGTTGTGTCGTATGCTCTTACGAAGGGCATTGCGAGTAAGACGATGAGCGATGGTACGATCGCTAATTGAAGAATGAAAGCTGACGGGTTGCCTTCCGAGAGCGTGTGGTACATTTGGACCAGAATTGCTCCACTTAATCCGAGAAAACCCTAAAATCCCAACAGAATATATATGAAAAAATTTACATAAAAATCATAGTATATATACGAAAACTCAAAAGTTTTACCATTAAAATCGCACTTGCTGCTTTATAGAGTAATCGAAAAGAGAATACACACACACACACACCAAATATTGCTCCATTTATAGTCAAGAACAATATCATTTGTTAATTAAAAGTTAAATAAAATTATAGTTTATGAAAAAGTTTACGTAAAAAAAAATAGTATATATGAAAACTCAGAAGATTTTTACCACAAGAAGTCATCGGTTACTGCATTAGTAGAATAATTGTAAAGCTAATATACATATATTTAATCCAAATAGATTTTTTTTTAAAAAAAATATTCAAAATGGAAGATTTGTTCCACATTTGCCTACCATTTGTATTTAAAAAACCATATAAATATAATAAAGAAACATAATCTGATACTGCTATCATCATAATGACTCCTCCAGCTAATAAAGCTTATAATAAAACTAATTAATTACAGTTCATTATAAATAAACGCGAGGGGTCACTCACTCCAAAGACTTCCTCCACAACACATTCTATAATCTTTTTTTTCCCTTAGAATTGAAATCAATCAGGTGAAAGATTAAAATGTATAAAATTCACTTTATTCAGCATTACCTTCATGATTCCGACAGCGGTTCCGCCGTAATCGGAGAAATTCCTGACGGCGGTGACAACGTTGGCGGTGTTGAAGAAAGGTTGTGAATGACCAGCCAAGAACATGAAAAAGCACATGGCCGCCATTGGAGGCCTGTCTATGAAGCCAACGACCGACGCCCAGATGAAGAAATAGCCGAAGAACCATTGGAGAAGTCCGATAAAGACGACGATCCAAGGCCCTTTGAAGAAGCCATTGCCGGAGGAGGAGGAGGCGACGGCGGTGTAGAGGAGGCCGGAGAGGATTCCGACATTGGCTCCGATGTCTTTGGAGACGGAGACGGCGTCTAGGGTTGACTGGTCGTATGATTGTGAGGTCTTGAGGATTGATGAGTAGATTCCGAAGGCGTAGCTCGCTCCCGTGAAGCATTGTATCCATATGCTTGCTACGGCTGCTAACCACTTCGTGTTCCATGGTCTCTCCACCATCTCTCTCTCTCTCTTGCTCTCTCCTTGATCTCTTATATGAGAATGGAGAATCTTGGCTCTCTTTCTCTTTCTATCTCTTTTTTTTTGTTAAAAATGTAAATACTATTCCTGTGTAATAACGTCTACAAGGATGAAGGAATGTGTTACCCTCCATCCTAAGTCAGAGATACAGAATGTATAAGGATAGCAACACAGCAAACCCAGGAAATGAGAGCACAAAACAACAAAAAATTACATCGGCTCAAATAGCCGAAACCAAATAGAAAGCAGCGAGTCGTCTGGATGTAAACATGTCCAATCGTTCCTGATCGTTGTGAGTCGTCTTCTTGCTTGAAGTCTAATCTCCTTGACCAGCATTTCCCCCGGCCTGGACTCAGTGTTGTGCAAGCGCGCATTCCTCTCCTTCCAGATGTTGTAAATAGCCCCTTGAAAAAGCAGCAACGTCATCAGCCGTATGCAACGGTCATTTGAGCAGTTTCCCAACCATATAGTCCATCCCATGAATGTAAATTGCCAAGTCAGTTGAAGCTCCGAGTGGAGTAGCAAAGAGTTCCAGATTGCAGACGAATATGAGCACCCAAAGAAAAGGTGATCGACGGTTTCCGGTTCCGCGTCACAGAGCAAACACGTTTGAGGCACCTCCCGCCCCCATCGTTGCATCCTATCCCTCGTTGGCAGCCTGTTACGAGCAACCAACCAAGAGATAAAGGCATGCTTGGGGACATATTTATTAAACCAAATAACACTACTCCAGGGAACCCGAGGGGGTGGAGGAACGAACATATTCCATGCCCTCTTAGTAGTGAAACGTTGATGGTCTGTAGTTCGATAACTCTCAGACCAGTAAAAATAATCCTGTTGGTCTGAGGTTGCTGGAATACCAATGTCCATAAGCGTGAGGTGTAGAGAAATAACCTCATCTGATCTCGCTGGAGGTATTAGCCAACCTTCTGCATTACAAACATCACTTACCATTGCGTTTCTCGGAATTCCTAGTTGTCTTGGACCGCCTTCACCTAGGAAGCCAATCAACGGACCTTGGGGAAGCCAAGAGTCCAGCCAAAATCTGCATTGACGACCATTCCCTACATGACATTTCAGGAATTGACGTGCAATAGGTCGGAGTCTGAGGAGTTTGTGCCATGCCCAACTTCCTTTCCCTCTCGGTCTTAGATCCCAAAAGGAAGAGGAACCCATCAGATTTCGGTTTGCCCATGCTACCCACAGAGAACCACCTCTTGTAAACAACAGCCAAATCAATTTCAGACATAAAACCGTGTTCCAATCACTTAACCTCTTGAGACCAAGTCCCCCCGAGTGTTTAGGGGTACACACTGCTGTCCACGAAACTTTTGCTCCTTTAGCCGAGTCTGGCGCTCCCGTCCAAAGGAATGCTGAGCACAGTTGTTCAACCTCCCGTATACAAGCCCGTGGTAGAATAAATGTCGAGGCCCAGAAGTTTATTAGACTGGAAATGACTGATTTAATCAGTTGCAACCTTCCCGCAAAGGAGAGAAATTTCGATGTCCAAGAGCAGATCCTGGCTCTAATCGCCTCTTTCAGCCGTGCACAGTTAGAAGCATTGAGCTTCGAGGGGCTTAAAGGGAGACCGAGGTATCTAACCGGTAGTTTAGAGTAGGAAATACCAAGTGAAGTGGCCAAGACTGAGCTCAAGTCATCTCTGTCCCCATCAGTAAAGAGAGCTGTCTTGGCCTTGTTTAGTTGCAGGCCAGACGTCAAGTAGAACCGGTGGAGAGTGTCCATGACATTACTCAAAGATTCTCTCGATGCATCTGAGAATACAAGGATGTCATCGGCGAACATAAGATGTGATATTTGGGGGTCTCGGCAACAACTAGGTAGCGTAATCCTCCTATCACCAACCTCACAGTCCAGAGATCTAGATAACACCTCCATCACAAGGGTAAAGAGATAAGGGGATAGTGGATCCCCTTGTCTCAACCCCCTTCTCCCTTTGAAGAACCCAATCAATTCACTATTGAAGGAAACTGAGTAAGTAGGAGTCGAAATGCATTCCTGAATCCACAGAATGAACTGCAATGGGAAATCCAATGCCTCTAAAATGCGTGTCACAAATGACCAATTCACTGTGTCGAAGGCCTTACTAAGGTCCACCTTAATCAATGCCCGTCTAGGTAATCCACGAGCCTTAAAGCCAGCTGTTAATTCTGTTGCCAAAAGTACGTTTTCGACGAGAGAACGTCCAGGGATAAAAGCTGATTGGTTCGACCCAACCAAGTCTGGTAGTGCCATCTTTAACCTCCTTGACAGAACTTTAGCTATGATTTTATAAACCGTATTGCAGCAAGAAACTGGTCTATAATCCTTTAGCTTATCTGCATTTCTGACTTTCGGAATCAGGGAGATGGAAGTGGCATTCCATTGCTTCAACAGAGAACCTGATCTGAAGAACTCCATCACAGCCGAGATAACATCATGCCCTACAATATCCCAACATTCCGTAAAAAACTCTGCTGGAAAACCATCTGGCCCTGGTGCCTTGCCTTTCGGAAGGGAAAAAATCACTCTCTTAATCTCCGCCTCATCAGGTAATTTTGAAAGATAATGCGCCATTGAAGAGCTACAACGGGATGGTAAGAGTTCCCTAAGCTGTCGAGGTTGCCAACAAACCAGATTTGCATCTGTCGAGCCCAGAATCTGCTTGTAATAACCAACCACCATGCGCTTAAGTTCGCTCTCTTCAAAGACCCGAACCCCTGCATCAGTCACAAGAGAGCGGATGGCATTAGTCGATTGACGAGAAACAACAACCCGATGAAAGAATTTAGTATTCTGATCTCCCTCTGACAACCAACGAAGTCTAGACTTCTGCTTAAAAAATGTTTCCTCCGCCCTTGATAGACGAGCCCATTCAGATCTCAGCTCCGCTTCTATTTGTGCTGCCTCAAGGGTAGGCCTCTCTAGAAACATGTGTTGTGCTGCCTTAAGTGCCTCGAAAGCTTGTTTTGTCCTTGCTTGAATATTACTAAAAGCGAGACGGTTCAACTCCCTTAACCCAACCTTTAGCCTTTTCAACTTTTGGGACAAACAGAGCATTTGTGAACCCTGGTTCGTTGAGTTGCTCCAAGCTTCAAGAACCCTTCGGTTGAAATCTTGATGCTTTAGCAAGTGAAGAAAGAACTTGAAATTCCTGCGTTTCCTTCGATTCTGTGGTTGGTCGATATGGACGATGCATGGGGAATGGTCTGATGGAGCTGGAGATTCGAAGATCGCATGTGAATCAGGGTGTTCCAATATCCAATAGTCATTAACAAGGGCTCTATCCAGTTTTCGAGAGATCGGATTCTGCACGCAGAAGTTGGTCCATGTATGGAAAAGACCGGAGGCTGTTAGGTCAAAGAGACCAGTAGAGAGAAGACAATCTTGGAATTCTGACATTCCCGTATGCGGCACAAAAGGGAAGGTTGGTGAGACATGCTCAGACGGACGAAGAACCTGATTAAAATCACCCAGGACAAGCCATGGCCTAGCCGAGAGTAGAGGATGTGTTGACAGAACACATAATTCAGACCACAAAGTTCGACGCTCCGCTGCTGTGTTACGGGCATAAACAAAAGAGACTGTGAAGTAGGTATTGGTCGAGGGATTGAAGACCCCGCAAGTAACCATCTGGTCCGAGGTGGAATAAGTCGTGACCACCAGAGAGCGATCCCATATAACCCAGATCCTGCCAAGTTCTGAATTGCTGTAATTGTGGTGTATATTCCAATTAGGAGCCAGGGATTCAAGAATCTGCAAAGCATGAGATTCCTCGCGTACTCTTGTCTCAATTAGGCCTCCAAGCAATGAACTCGACGAACTGATCAAATCCTTTACTGCTCGCTGTTTTTGCGCGCCATTTAGGCCGCGTGTATTCCAACAAAAAACTCGCATCGTTGGCTGACAAAATACCAAAATCCAAAATCCAAAATAATCCTGGGAGCTGTGCAATCACTGCATTTTACCTTTCCCCTTTCGAGCCTTTCCGACCAAAGTGAAGTCGGAAAGATCCCGAGAGGTTCTCGTAGCTCTAGAACGCAACACTCTTTGTGCCTCCAAAATAATCTGGTCCTCATTATCGAAGTGAAACTTAGATTGGGCTATTTCCTGTGGAGGAGATTGCTGTCTTGTAGGGAGGGGTTGGGGCGACAAGAGACAAGACTGCTCTCTTGTAGACATGACCGTCGGACTAGGGGAGATAATGGTGGTCGCTGGCAGGGTAATCTGAGGAGCAGATTCTATGTTGACTGATGGAGCAATCGGAGATGCAGAGACTGTGTCAACCGGATGGGCAATCGGTGAAGCCACCGATGCTGTGGGCTGCAAACTTGAAGCCGGGCCATTTGGAGTTGTATCTGGTGGCGTAAAGTTTTTTGGACCTACCGACGACGGTGGCCCTGCCTCTGGCTCAGTTTCCGTTGTTTCCCTAGACCTCTCAGTAACTGTTACCTGTGGTTGCGATTGCACAGACTTAAGCTGGCAGCTCTGAAGTTTGTGCCCGAATTCACCACATCCCGAGCACTTCGGCGGTGTCCAAGGATAGTTCGCATTGATTGTGATCACCGATCCTTCCTCATCTTCGATTTCTATAGACTCAGGGAGAGGGGCATCCAATTGTACTTCCACTTTGACCTTTGCTTCTCCCACAGTTAACGGGTCTAATCGCATCTTGTCCGTGTGTAAGGGCTCTCCTATACCCGAGGCTATGTAACTTAAGCCTTTTAATGAGTACAACTCAGCTGGTATATTAGTGAGATTGACCCATATCGGAGCCGACGTTAGCATTGTTTTCCGAAAAGTGGCTGTCGTCGACCATTCTGCAACTGCAAACATCACATCTGCTGCCCTCCAGAGACCCACTTCAAGCACCGATTCTCGTGTAGCCAAATCCGGAATGTGAAACAAACAGGAGGAATTATTAATTCTGCGCACATGGATTTTCTATCTCCCTCGCGCTCTTCTTGATCTCTCCTATGAAAATGGAGAATCTTGTCTCTATCTCAGTTGCCAACAAATTATTCTCTCTCTCTCTATATATATGTAATTATGTATGTATGACAAGATTTATAAAGTTAATGATTTTATATTAAAGTTGCAAGGTATGATTTTATACGATGGGCCGGGGCATTTTATGCAATGTTTTTGAAAGTTAATATTTTTTTAGATCGTTGTCCACAAAATCAAACAAATATTCCTCATTTCTTTACTATATTATTAATACTTTGGACAACAAATTTTTCTATAGTCATCTTATTTTATATATATATATATATATTTGCAATCATATATATCCGCAGGATTAAATATATTATAGTATATTTAATTAAAAGGTATCTATCTTTATAGACTTATAATATATGTTTTTTAATCAATGCGAATGCGATCCTGATTAGTATGACATATTATAACTAAAAAAGATTAGTCAAAGTATTTTAGGGCTAATTAATAATGTAAATGGTATACAATCCTGATTAGATGTATGACTCTTTCCTTCAAAGACAGCTGTGTAAAAGTATAAAATAATTAAGAAAAAATATATAGATTAATTATTTTAATTCGCATGACGCTTAATTTTCACGTGATGATTATATTTATATAACTATACTTTCCAATCGACTACTCTGTCAATTTTATTTACATTAGTTGTTGACTTGATTGATTATTTATTTTTTTAGGATTTTGTGAAATTTAAAAAAAAAATAATTGCCATATAGAATTGGTTTCTTCATATATATATATATATATAGAGACATAAACTGAGAAAGTTTATGTATACTATTTATCAATCTTACTGTTTCATATTTACTTCCCAATCGCAGTTAATTTTTTTACATTTCTTTTGGTTTTCTCACTCTTGAATTTTGCTTTGCTTAAACAGAATTTAATTATGAAAATGGAAAGGTTCGTTAAATTAATGGTTATTTTATTAGTCAGGTATATCGAAAAAAAAATATATTATACACTGGTTAGTGATAACACATTTTTAAAACACATGTTTTCCTCGAATAAAAAAAATATTTTAAAAATTTTAGTTTTGAGTTGAAATATATTTGGACTTTATATATTTGGGCCTACAAGATTGGGCCGTTAAGGTTTTCGGATAACTGCGAGCGATTTAAAAAATATAAAAAGGGACGGAGAGGAAGAACGTACAAAATAATTTTTCTCTTCGAACGGAACTGAGAAACGGAAAAACTTCTCTCTCTCTCTCTCTCTCTCTCTCTCTCTCTCGGAGTTTCCTTGTCGGGCGATTTAGGGTTTTTTTCTTTTCTTTTTCCAGTACTTGATTCTCCCCTACGATTCTTTGGGAGTTTCCCCAATTAAGGCTCGGTTTTTAAGTTTTTACCTCGGGGAAATCTCATAGGGTTTTTGTTGGAATTGAGTTATGGATTCTATCAGATCGTCGTATTGGTGTTACAGATGCAACCGGTTCATTAGGATCGGGGCTCGGGAGCAAGATTCGATCCTCTGCACCGATTGCGGCGGCGGATTCGTAGAAGAAATCGAAACGCCTTCGCGTTCTCCGATTCACCACCGTTTCCCTTCCACCGCGGTTTACGACTCGAGCCCGGGTCCGCCGAGTCCGAGATTCCGGCGAAATCGGAGAACGGGAGGGGATCGATCTCCCTTCAACCCCATCATCGTTCTACGGGGACCCACCACCGATTCCGGCGGGCATGAAGGAGCCGCCGGAAGCTACGAGCTTTACTACGATGACGGGGCAGGGTCGGGTCTCCGACCGTTACCTGCGAGCATGTCGGAGTTCCTGATGGGTTCAGGATTCGAACGGCTTCTGAACCAGTTGGCACAACTGGAAATGAACGGAGCTGAGAGATTGGAGCAACCACCGGCCTCTAAGGCGGCGGTCGAGTCCATGCCGGTGATCAAGATCGCGGAGAATCACGTCTCGGAGGAATCGTATTGCGCTGTGTGCAAAGAGCCTTTCGAGCTAGAATCCGAGGCTCGTGAAATGCCGTGTAAGCATATCTACCACTCTGACTGCATTTTACCTTGGCTTTCGCTTAGGAACTCTTGCCCCGTTTGTCGGCATGAATTGCCTACGGATGCAAATGCGAGTAACATTGGTAGGAACTCGAGTGGACACGATGGCGAGACAGTGGGTTTGACCATTTGGAGACTGCCTGGTGGTGGGTTTGCCGTGGGGGGATTCCACGGCGGAAGGAGAAGAGGCGAGAGGGAGTTTCCAGTTGTTTTCACCGAAATGGATGGAGGGTTCAACACTCAGGGTGCTCCGAGGAGGATTTTCTGGGAGCCAATGGAGGGAAGATCAAGGGAGAGAGGCGGGTTAAGGCGGGCTTTTCGTGGGTTCGTCTCATTTTTCGGGAGATTAAGAAGGGGTTCAAGTTCATCGGCTGCCCGGGAATCTCGGTTAACCAGAAGAAGTCGATCCATCTCGATCTTCAGCCGACCAGCAGCAAGGACAAGAAACCAAGGTTGGAATGCGGACAACGAAGACTTGTAAATGGATACGGCTTCAGTTCTGTAAATAACAATCAGACAGGGAAGATGTGAAGGTATGAAAGGAACGATTTTTCTTCATGATCATGTCTGGGGAATCTGAAGGTTGCTCTGAGCGTTGTGAGAGTGTAATTTAGGTACAAAATCATGTTGTAGTTTCTGTCATCGCTATTGATTATGATCAAAGCATTCAGATTCTTTCCCCGAAACACTCGAGGGATCCTCCACCCCGTTACTCTCTGTTTAATTGAGAATGGATAAGAATAGGAAGAGCAGAAGGGGAAAATTTGGAAAATCCAGACTGGTGGTAATTCAAGTTTTGTCCTCTGAAGGGGCATAACTCTACTTGTGGAATGATGATTCAGTACTCTTTGTTTCCTCCCTTTGTTTCCCAAAAAAAAATTTAGTTCAGTCAGGTCTGAAAAATCTTACCGATGTCAATGAAGCTGGTTCTGCATTATAAGTCTCGATCCCTTTCTTGCATGCTAACAAGATTCTCGTGTAACGAGACCTTGTCAAGTCTTGGACAAACTGACACGTGCTCCTGTGTTTCTTGTCCGCATCCATGAGGGTCGATCGAGAGAGAGAGAGCGTTACTAGGATTAGTGCATGTTGTTTCATCTTTTATATCAGAGCCTTAAATCTTACAACCGGGGAGAGAGCGTTACTAGGTAGGTACTAGGTATGGTATGGACACCGGAATCCAAATTTCCGGATACTTGACCCGATTTCCTAGTCGGATACCCAAAAGTTGGATATTGCGAGAACCCGACTTCTGATTTCGGCCGGTTATTATTCGTGCCCACGGATACCCGTCGCAAATCATAGATACCCATTTCCTATTCCAACCATATGCATCGATCATTAAGAATCTATTCTGAATCTTGATCTTTGGTTGAGGAAAACTACAACTCATCTTTTATCCGAAAAACTGCAATTCCACTGCATCTCAACAGGAATAAGGAACAAAAACGCACAAATGTATTATGAACAAGCTCAATCATAGAGTGTACCGACTTTTAGCAGCTCGATCAAGCTTCTTAGCATCCTCCTGAAAACATGACAGCTTATGAATAATACCCAAAAACAGAAAACAGAGTGCATCGAGAGAGAGAGAGAGAGAGAGAGAGGCCATACATGGACTATGAAAACAATTTCTTCGCCGTACCCAACAAGTCCCTTCCATTGTTTCCCAATTCTTATCTGCACAATGCAATTTCAATTCTGTGTTCTTAGATAAAGCGAAAAAACATGGTATTGCCTGAATCCTCTCAAGTTTTATAGTTACAACAAGCATTTGAAACATAAACAAAAAGCCCTTGGTTACATAGCATATCATATATATAAAAGTTACCTGAACTTGCTCGTTTGCAGCGTTTTTGGTCCACAGAGAGATCTTATCTTGTTTCGGCCTTACGTTTACAACCGCTCCGCAAATCTCATCCCCCTCGTCAAATTGCTCACCGACCATAGCAAGTAACTATAATAACACAGCATTCCATCATACGAAATGCAATTTGACTTTCAGCATAGGCCAAGGATAGTTACATTACATACCGTGTGAAGCCAGTTGGTATCCGATTTCCCCCTCGGGAAGATCATTGTCCACTTCCCTCCATTTGAACACTCAGGGTCTTCCCATTTCGGCTCCATTTCATGTTTGAAGCAATACAAGTCAGCCCCTGGAGCCAACTTGCTCGGATGATACATGTTATTGTAAAGACTGCATCAAGGATTAATCACCAGTGAAAACATGATAGTTTGCAGACTAAGCAAAAACAAATAGCCGAAGGCAGGAACTGAAATCAGTTTCCAAGATCGAGCAAGAAAAAGTAATTTTTCCTGAGATTCAACACAATCATTCTCCTTGGCAACGAATCAAGAACTCTGAGAGACAATTCACGTATGTTCAAATGATGAGAGATTCACCAAAATCGGCACAAAACACCCACAGACATTTCAAATGATGAGAGATTCACCAAAATCGGCACAAAATCTAAACTATCGAATCCTTAATCAGCTGATTTTATCTTCATTTAATAGGGAACACGAAAGATGGCATAACAAATATCTCACCTCCAAAACTCCTCGACGGTGGCGAATGTGTACATGGATCGCATGGAGCTTCCCCAAGTGGCTTGCTTCGATTTTGAAGACGGATTATCGAACCAGAATGTCCAAGAATTGTGGAGCGGATGCGGATGCCGAATAACGGGGGTCGATTTCTCCAACTCATCGACATCGCCGTCGCCGCACACGGTCTTTCCTCCTTTCAACACACCTTCCTCTCCGCCGCCGGAATTACCAATCGCCGGAAAGTGAACTCCTAAAGAGATAGAGCTCGCAGTGTTGGGATTGATATTCTCCTCGGCAGCGCTCGACGACGCAGAAATTTCTTCAACCGCCATTGTTCCTCGCTCGCTCTGTCTCAGTTGAGCTTTTCCTCGCTGGTTTGTTTACTGTACGGAGGAAGAGGAAATGCTCAGCCTTATTAACGGCCCATTAAAGGCCCATTATCGACAAATTTTGTTCCTTTCCTTTTTCCGAGAACAAAGGACAGCTTAATAAACCAAATTGAATCTAATTAAACGCGCCCGGTTCACCCGGTTCAATTCGGATTGAAACGAATTGGTTTGTTTTGGATTTCAAAAGAATAAAAAATTTTTTGATTCGAATTGGATCGGTTCGTTTATTTTATGAGCTAAACGAACCGTCTCACGATATCAAAAAATATAATATTTTTTTAATTTAAATTATAAAAATATCAAATATATTTTGATATAAAATTTAAACATTAAAATATTAAACTTAAGTATATAAAATAAGTTATATATATGATCAACAAAAAATAAATTAAATATTAAAAATATATATATTTGTTACTCATCTGAAAAATGCATTTGTTCAGGAAATATGTGTTACGGCTCACTAAGTTTACGTACGGTACACCGTCAAGTGAAGAAAAAGCTTTTCTCAACGGACCAAGTCTTCTATGGAAAATAATAATAATAAAACAATATAGCTGAAATTGAATTTTTTAAAAAAGATATATTAAAAATGAAAATAACATTTATATTTATTTTATTGAAGTTGGTATTATATCCAATATGAGCAACTCGAGGCCACTCTTCTTCATTTCCATGTCCCACACCACCGTGTGACATATCTGTTTTACGTTTTAAAATTTTCATAATTTACGAAAAAAAATTATACAATTTTTTTCACGAAATCGTTTTTCTAATGACCAAACAAGCCCAATTGTTGTGGGAAAAAAAATCAATGCTAATAAATAATTGGTGTATCAATAGATTCTTCTCCATATTTTTTTTTTGCCTAAATAGTTTTTTTTTAAAAAAAAAAATCCCAACATAGAGACAAAAAGCAGAACACAGTTCATTCACACAGCGCACAAACGCACAGCAGAATTCTAGGGAGAGAAAAGCTCGAATCTTTTCACGTCTTACGGAAAACTCGCATGCGATTCCTTTGCAGGTGACGAAATCCATTGTTGGGTTTGAATCATGCCGTCGGGTGCGAAGAAGAGAAAAGCCCTGAAGAAGAAGAAGGAGAAGGAATCTATCGGAATCGGTAAGGGGAACGACAACGGCGACAATCTTCCTGGTACTATGTTTTTTTTTTTGGACAAATAAGAATCACTTGTCGATGTTCTTGTACTGTGCTTTTGATTCTGTTTCTGCTCGAGTTTGGTTCAGAATTTCGGGATTTGGGGATTTTAGTATATTCCTCCAAATGGGTTTATGCAAACTTTTGCTGCTTTTGATTCTACTCAGACATTTGACAGTATATTCTCTTATTTCCGAGGAAATTGTGTGGTTTATTATTTGCTTCTCTTGGATCCTTTGAGTATTCTGTCGATGGATTTACATAATCATAACTGTTTGTTTCCTTGTTGACCACACTTGTCTCCTGATGAGAATGAGATCTTTCATTGAATTGGCATTTAAGGAATGCTCCCAATGATGACTTGAACCAGACTTTGTTGAAACAGTTACATGAACATCTCATCCCTAACATGAGCGTAGCTTTGTTGAATCAATAAAAAGAAAAGAAAAGAAATTTTCTTGTCTTTCAATTGAAGTGTCTTCACTGTCTTGAGCATGACGACTTGCCTTTAGTGTATCTTTTCTCTGAGTTTTGGCTGTCTGGTTTTCTTGGTATCTTTTTGTAATCTTCTGGCTTTGCCAATGATTTCTGAAAAAGGTAATGATGATCCCGAAAGTGATGGCAATCTGAGTTCACCTAATTCTCGCGGAAATGGAGAAGAAACGCATCCATCTGCTTTTGAGAAGGACAAAGCTGAGACCTCTGTTCTTGTTGATTCCTTCAAACCTCATGTTTCTGCATCCGAGGTTGTGATATTTGACGATAAAGATCAAGTTAAGACCTCGAACATAAGTTCGGATTCTGTCGATCATAAGTTTGGTGAACTAGAAGAGAAGGAAAAACTTAAAGACGGTAACTTGATTACACCCTCAGAAGAATCTGCTGAAATGGGCAAAGAAGCCAAGTCGGTTCTACAATCTGAAATTCCAGAATGTCCCGAGGCAAAGGTACCGACCCTTCCACCTTCCTTCCCTATACCACCTATTTTCAGTCGGTGTAATCTCCTCGTGGACATGTGCAGAGTCTTTTGGCATCCGGTCCACCGGTTGCACGAACGTCATGGTTGAGTTGCTGCGGTTTGTTTGATGCGATGGCAGGGTCTGAACGATAAATCACAGGTTGAGATTCTTAGTACCCGTTTTTTATATCCGATTTATCCGTTCCTTAGTGTTACTGCTATCTTCATCTATATTATCCATGACTGGGGAGTCTGGGACTTGTGTTCTTGTAGTGTTCTTGTGTTGGTTTCTCTTTTGAAGTAATTTACAATTCTTCCCTCTTCGGCTGCACTAAGCTTTAGCATATAAAAGTTTTAATACGAGGATGGATCGCCCATGGACTTGGAATCTTGGATTGGACAGTGTTTCCTTTCCTATCTTTGAAACCCTTCTCTGAGATGCTTTTTGCCAGCTTTGTAGTTGAAATTGGTCAGAGTTGGAGTAGTGAGCTTTTTGTTGTTCATCTGTTTCAAAATTTTTAGCTGCATGAAAATTTTCGGTAAAGATCTGATTCTTCGATCCTCTCTGCGCTGCTCTGCTCTTCAGAAATCAAAACATATCGTTACTTGTAACTATAGTTCAAGAATCTTGGAGAACCATCATCATCATCTCCACATGCTCTTATGTTGCAGAAATAGGCAGTGAAATCTCAATGAATCCAGACAAGATGCCGGGTATGTAGATTCTTCGTGTAAATTAGATTTTGGATGGATAGCATCGCAAATTTTTGAAGCAAGACTTCAGTTGTCTTCTCCATGTTTTTTTGGTCTGTCTTATATAATTGACATCTAGCTATATTACATGGTTACGACCATCTATATTACAAAATGAATGCCGCCGGCGGCGAGACATTGAGTGTCGCCGCCGCCGGCGAGTAGACTTTCCGCGAGACATTCTTACACCTCTCCCCTCATGTTTTGTTATGTTCTCTTTACGTACATCGGATGCCATGTTTAATACAAAAGTTATCTGCAATCTCAGCCGAAAGATGGTGAATTTTGAGATTATTAATCATTATGGGAATTCATTATTACACAAGAATTTGCATCACCGATTGCAGACAATTAGCCAAAATGAAAAATCGAAGAATATAGAATGCTTCAGAAGAGGTCAGATGGTAGTGCATGTTAAGTATTCAACACTTGGTTTCAGATTTACAGATATTGGGTAGATATATATCCTCATTCCTCTTCTGAATTTACAGTCAAAGATTGGATCTTTCATAGAAAAACAAAATTTCCACCAAAGGGTTTTTGTTTTAAAAAAATGAGATTTTTCAGAGGGGAAAATCGCAAAAACAAGGTATTTGAAACAACAACAAAAAAAATTGGATCAGATTACAAGGCTAATCAAATCATTCCGCAGACGCAGAGCATCATGCTCATGATTAAAACAGAGAATAAGAAGAAGATCGATAAATTCTGAATCAGATAATAATGTCAATCACCACATCGCAATCAACTATGAAAGCGAATAAGACTGGGGCGACAAATACTTATCATCATCTTCATCGGTTAAATTACCGACACGAAACACAGAAGAACAGCAGAAGAATCGGATTGACGAACAAAGGGAAAGCGAAGAGAAACTGAGGAGAATTTCCGGAGAAGATAGAACAGAGAGGGAAGAGAAAACGATATTAGAGTTTTGCAGAGGCCGAGAGCAATGCTTTGAAGTTGAAGATGGACAGAGGTTCGGCTTTTATACAGAGAGGGAAGAGAAAACGAGATTAGGGTTTTGCCTTCGATTTTAAAATTATTTCAATTAAATACGAATCTAATATAAAAATAATTAAAAACGACACCGTTTTTATATGGGCCAGGCCGATGTGTTTGGCAGGCCCATGGTGTTTTACTTGTAAAAACACCCCCCAAACGCCAATCATCGAGAAGGAGAGTAGAACCGGGGAGAATACCATATTCCTCCACGAATTCTCGAAAAATTCCAATTTTCTATACCAATTTTTAATTTGACAAAAAATTACACCGGATTTTAAATATTTTCAAATTTCTACACAAAATCTTAAAATGTATTACAATTTCCTCTATATCCATAAACAACGTTAAATTTCGTCAATTTTAACATTGATGTGCACAGATTTCGTCAAATCATCACATTTCGCCAAATCATCATGGCACGTCAGAAAATAAATAAAAAATAAAAAATTTCTATTTTTTTAAAAAACTAATAAAATAAAATAAAAAATTATAGAATTTTTAAAAATTACAGAATTTTAAAATTTATTTTTAAAAATAAAATAAAAAATTACATATACATATATACACATTTTTATATCTATACACAATTATATATATATACATATATGTGTCTTATACATTTACATATATACACACTTTTACATATATACACAATTTTTTAAAAAAACTTTTAAAAAATTACAGAATTTTAAATTAATTTTTTAAAATAAAATAAAAAATTACATATACATATATACACATATATACATCTACATACATATTCACATTTTCATACACTATATATATACATAGTCACACACACACATATATATATATGTGAATATGTATGTATGTAGAAATATATATATATGTATATATATATATATATATTCATATGCATATATATATATTTCTACATACATATATACATATTCAATGCATATATGGATATATATGTATATATATGAATATGTATATATATGAATATGCATTGAATATGTATATATGTATATATACATATATGAATATATATATATATATATATATTATTTATGTGTATATATATATGTATATAATTATGTATATAGATGTATATATGTGTGTATATGTATATGTATATAATTGTGTATAGATATAAAAATGTGTATATATGTAATATATAATTTTTTATTTTATTTTAAAAAATAAATTTTAAAATTCTGTAATTTTTTAAAAAAATTTTTAAAAAAATATATTTTATTTTATTAGTTTTTTAAAAAAAATTCTGGAATTTTTTATTTTATTTTATTTTTTATTTATTTTCTGACGTGGCATGATGATTTGGCGAAATATGATGATTTGCCGTGTGATGTGGCATACCATGTCAGCGTTAAAATTGACGGAATTTATCGAGGTGTAACTTATATGAATATGTATATATATGAATATGCATTGAATATGTATATATGTATATATACATATATGAATATATATATATATATATATATTATTTATGTGTATATATATATGTATATAATTATGTATATAGATGTATATATGTGTGTATATGTATATGTATATAATTGTGTATAGATATAAAAATGTGTATATATGTAATATATAATTTTTTATTTTATTTTAAAAAATAAATTTTAAAATTCTGTAATTTTTTAAAAAAATTTTTAAAAAAATATATTTTATTTTATTAGTTTTTTAAAAAAAATTCTGGAATTTTTTATTTTATTTTATTTTTTATTTATTTTCTGACGTGGCATGATGATTTGGCGAAATATGATGATTTGCCGTGTGATGTGGCATACCATGTCAGCGTTAAAATTGACGGAATTTAACGTTGTTTACGGATATGGGGGAAATTGTAATACATTTTAAGATTTTGTGTGGGAATTTGGAAATATTTGAAATCCAGTGTAATTTTTTGTCAAATTAAAAATTGATGTAGAAAATTGAAATTTTTTCGAAAATTTGTGGGGAATATGGGATTCTCCCTAACTATAAACTAACTATAAACTACGAGATTCCTTAATAATTTTTTTTTAAATTACTGATTAGATAACACTATATGATTATTTCATGGGATTAAGCACGTGTTAGTATTCTTAAATGGAGCCACGTGGACGTCCTACGTGGCATATTTGTGTAGGAGCTGACACCAACGGTTGATATTTCATTGTTGTCGTTTTCAGAAAAAGGCCCTCTAACGAAATCCCGACCGTCCACGTGGTGATCAATTACTTCGACGAAGATATCTATTCCGTTGAAGGCTCAGCACCGGCGAAGACGAAGATGGCGAGTCTCTGTCTCTCTTCGCCGTCTGTTCTCTCTCTTCGCCTCCGGAATCGCAACAACAGACCTGTTCTCTCTCTAACTTCTCGGCTTCGTTCGCCGGAGGCTTCCGTTCTCCGTTGTGGTTCGAGTTCTGCTTGCTTCAATCCGCTAAGGTGAGGGAAAACAGAGCGTGTGATTTCGAATTCATCTATCGAGCTGTTTTTTTTCTTTATCTCTTTCGGATTTTCTCAGAGTATCGGTTGATTGTCTGCGAATGGCGACGATGAGAGTAGAAAAGCGGGGAAGGAGGGGATCGAGTGTGGTATGTTATGCTGCGCCTTTGAGTCCTCGTAATCTGCAGTGGATCTCGACCTTCTCTTCTATGTATAATCTCTTGTCTTTTTCTCCCAATGTAAATTTTAAATCAGAACGCTAATGGGTAAGCCCTGAGATTATGGCCAACGCTTTAGTTTTCTTGTTTGTCAAATGTGAAATTGGCTTCATTAGCACAATCATCTTCTTGTGCTGACTAAAGATAGTATGCTTGAAGCTTTGTTTAGGCCTCTTTACTGTTCCTTTGGAAGTCAGCAGCTTGAAAATATGAGGGAATTTCTTGCATTAGAGAAAATTGTAGAAGCTCATGTTTCGGGCTTATGTCTATAATGAACGAGGATGATGAAGTTAAAGCTGTTCTATATGCTCAGTCGTGCATTTACTTCCGGCAGAGAGAAATGGTTATGTGTGATTTTTAGGTTGACAAATCTTAGTTCTTATGTCCATTTGTTTACCCCAATCTCTAAAATTCTGTATGGTTCTTAATGCGAGCAGCATAATAACGTTTGTTGTTTCCTGCCTCTACTTAGTGTGCTTATGCTTTCGAAGGGCACCGGTATCCAGAAGTCCTTCCTTGTTCCTCTTTTTGCCCTACAAGCACCAGCGAACATTATTTCCTGGATGAAGTAAGCTTCTTGTTGGCGATTTCATATTGTGTCTTTTGCAGTTCTGGTTGCTTCTTCTTCTTTCACCATGAATAGTTTTACATTGGTAATCTGAAAATTTCATCTGGTTCCTCTTCTGATATGGAATGTGCACATATGCTTATTTGTCTGTCTTGAAGTCGTTAATCTTGTACATCTGATTTGTAGGGGTGAATATGGCATCTGGGCAGCATTCATGGCACTTCTTGTTCGACTGTTTTTCTTTATTCCAGGTATATATTTATCTTCAAGGAGCATGAGTTGGGTTAAATATTTATATATAAGAGACTATTGCACTTAAAATCTAAGTAGCCCTCAGTTCCCTGTTCTTTGTTACATAGTCGTGGAGAAACACAAGAAGGTGCAAGCACTTTCGTCTTATATAAGAAGACTATTACATGTTTACCCTTACAGGGTAGGCATTTTTAAGCTTCTACTAACCACTGCAAACTTCAAATAAGCTGTTAAGTTGTGGCGTTTCTGAAAATTGTTTTTGGCTGGCACGTTATGCTTTATGTGGCTATGCAAGTTTAATGCTGTTTTTGGAAACTTATGTCATCAAACCAACAATGTTCTGTTGCCAACAGCTATATGTGGGCAGGATTCATGGGTGTATTCACCAGGTCATGAAATTGCAGGATTTTATACGTGTTCGTATCGAGGTGTAACTCTGTTGTGGCTGCCTTGTTTGCAGGTGAACTTGAATTGCCATTTGTGGCATTGCTCTTGGTGATTGTGGCGCCTTACCAAGTTATGAACTTAAGGTTAGAGGATGTCTTGTTTGAGATCATTTGGGTCTTCTTTTCTAATTTTTCCTGTGTTTACACTCACCAATCTCATGTACTGGCAGAGGAAAGCAAGAAGGGGTTATCATTGCTTTGGCAATCGCCGGGTTTCTGGCTTTTCAGCACTTCTCACGAGCTGGCAGCTTGCAGAAAGCATTTGACCAGGGCTCAATTCTTGCCACCTTAGGAATCATTTGTGTCACAGTTGTATCATTCCTTTTCTTGATGTGAATATGCTCTTGAACAATAAGGAGGTTATATGTAAATCACTATAATAATGTGCGCGACAAGACAAGAAGCAATATGCTGTATATATGTGTGTGTGTGTGTTCTTGTAATCACAAAAGTATGCATGCTGTGTTTCTCCTGTCCTTAAGAAAAGTTGGCATTTTGCACTATCTTCTTGAAGCAGGTCGATATGTTACCGACAGATGATTGCATACGGAACCGGTTTTGGATGAAGACAATCCACCTTGAAGTTCATGAAAATGGAAACTGCAGGTTCAGAGCTAAGGAATAGTGAAGTTCTATTTTAAAGTATCTACGGAAAGTAAGAAGCTCACCACTCCATTTACTGCAGATTTTCGACAGGTATGTAGCATCTTGAAAGTTTAAAAAGGGATTTTCATTTGCTTTGTTGTACATCTTTCGTATGAGCTATTGCAGGATTAACCATGTCTAATGTTATTCACAATATTCATCAAGCATTCCCTAGGCTTTTTATTCTCTAAAATTGTGGAAGGATACACTATGCTTAATGAGTCTAGAAGAATTTAATTTATCTAAGCCCTTTGTTTCTGCTACATCTCCTGGTAAACTAATATGCCTCCAAGATGAATAATAGCAACAGAACAGATGGCTAGGCTAAGGTCTTGAAATAAATTAAGGTTTCTTGCTTTGAATTCCATTCCGAATATCTTGCAGGCAAGTGGAAGAAGTGCCTCATCATTTGGAGAAATGATTAGGTCCCTTAGATTCCCATTTGCTTAAAGATAGTGTTCCCTGAGTAGTTTCATGAGTATCCCTGCTGCTGCGAATATCGGGAGTAAGCCACCTGACACAACAGGCGATGAACTTGGAAGTCCGGTTGGCTCTGCCACGCCATACACTGGTCCAGTCCCAGGGAAGCCTGTTGTTGGAGTTGTTGTCGGGGTCGTGGTAGGGATCGTGTTAGTTGGCGAAGTATAAGCCGGTGGGCTTGGAGGATTTGGCGGATTTGGTGGACTAGTGCTGTATTTTCGAGTAAAAAACAATTGCTGTTATTTTCTTCCTCTTTTGCAGGTTAGACGTGATTTAAAGGGAAGCGGAGAATACCTGGTTGCTCCTGATGATGCCGGAAAGTGGCAGTTCCCTTTACCTGGGCGCAGCAGGAGAGGAAACAGAATATCAAATTCGAGATTCGTCCTTGATATCGGGTAGCTAAAGTTGAAAACTTTAGTCACTATTTAACTATTTGATGTATTTTGAATCAAATTACTGTGATACATTACTCCTAGGTTCTTGCCCTATCACAGGTAGCATTTAGATGTGAAAACACATATAACTTATGTAGTTGGAGGTGGCAGTCTACATATGCGGATGAACATAATCATGGCCAGGATGCAAATTACATGCAGGTAAACTCAACTCTACTTTTTTTGTGCCGTGATGATTACTATATCTTCCTTTGAGTTCTATCATAAAAAAGTCGATAATCTTACTTGGGTCCGTGCTGGTAAGTTGAGCTGTCCCTCCGAAAACGCAGCTTTCAGGTCCCGGATGCTTCTGGTAATAATCGTTGAAAGCGTAAGAAGCGTGATCACGGATGTTGTTTGGCTCGTAACAGCTTGCCCCTGGTTGGATCGATCCACAGTCAGCTCCTCCATACCCGCATGCATAGTCCAACGCCACCTGTAACGCTGTCGGTGAAGCATTTGGGCTCGCTATACACCACTGGCCACCACCACCTACACCTACACCTCCACCTCCACCTCCACCTCCACCTCCGGCTCCACCACCACCACCGCCACCTCCACCAACGACTCCACCGCCACCACCACCACCAGCTCCACCGCCAAAATCTCCTCCTCCTCCACCAAAATCTCCACCACCTCCAGAACCAAAGTCACCGCCACCACCAGGTGGGGCCGGGGTTGTGACTGGTCCTGGCTGTGTCGGTGCAGGTGGTGATGGTTGGGTTATGGTCGGGGTCGTGGTGCTGCCACCGGGATTGGTCGGATTCACAACCGGTATATCTCCTTGTCCCTGAGCTAAAACATTTGGAGCTGAAAGCAATCAAAAGACAACAACCAGGTAAGTTTTTTCTCTGCATTAACATATTCTTTGCTTCATCGTTTCACAAAAGGGTACCGGGGTTTTTTTTCAAAAGGGTTTTCACAAAGTAGGGTTCATATAAAACATAGGAAGATTACCTGATGTGATTAGAAGGTAGAAAAGAATGGCTAAGTGTCTCATGTTTTCGTTTAGGTTAGATGAGAGGAAACCAATAGAAGAAGGAAGTTGCCTGGGAAGAAGTTTGATGGCATTGATGGAGGGAATATATAAACAAGAACAGAATCATAAGAGGGCAAAGAATCAGAGATTTCTTGGGATGGGAGAGAGTCGCCATGGCGAGTAGAAGTAGTGGAAGAAGAAGGGAATAAAAGAAGACTTGAGAAAGGAGGAATTTGTAAGAAGCTTGGGGATAGGAAACGCATTAAAGAGGAAAAGGTATAATCATGTATGTAGTCTTGGTTATAAAACGATCAAATATGGCTATTGGTATATGATTTTTGCTTCGAGGGTTTGATTATATTACATTGATATTTATCAAATATGAGTAACGAATGTAGTGGAAGAGTTTCATGAAGCCGATGATGTAATTCAAACAAGTTGGTGACGAGTTTTTAACCCTTTGGAAAAAATATTTTGTTGGAATTTCGTTGGTGATTAATGTAGTCGATGGTGTTACTAGGGATAGATGATGTTTAATTTGAAGTACGTTAAACGCAATTGAATAATATAGAATTATATTTGAATATAATTATTAAACAATTAAATTGACAAACCCAATATAGAACAACAACATCATCAACATCGTTTTAATTTCAAGTTTATTTAGAGTGGCTCGTATGAATTGTTCATTTTTACTCATTTCGGTTTCAAGTTATTTCTTTTACAATTTACAATAATTCTAAATTATTCTTAATGATACGTTTTGTTCTGCTCTTTTATTTTGTTTTTCACCTTCGTTCTTATACTTTTGATATAGAAATAGTTTTAAAATTGAAGACAAAACAAATGAATTAATGCATGAGTACTATAATTTTGTGGAGTCTAAACAAAATGAAATTCGATAGAAAGACATAATTAAATAATCTAACTAATTGAACCAGAATTCGAGGTCGGAAAATGATATTCCTAGTGAATACCATGGGGTTGCTTTGGAAAATGTCGGGAGAAAAGGAGGATTAAGGTTATTTTTATTGGTTTAAAAACATCAAAGCGTAAAGCTTTTGGCTTACGTGTCCTGATATCGTAAAGGGCACACGTCATTTGCAACGAGGCTTAACATCTAACTCAAAGAATTAGTTCTTGCAATCTTAAATAAATTAATACTATAATTATCTACATTTAATAATTATAAATGTTTTCACAGCTATTAATATAGAGGATTACACAAGTAATCATTCAATTAATTCATTTTGGTAATTTTTTGTTCTTCTTCTTTTATTTTTATTTCAATAAATTACCTTATTAACTACATGTATATCTGTATTAAGGCTAATTAATCTCCTAGAGTTCTAATATTTAAATTATTGACTTTTCCTAATTACATAATTTTGTTATAATGTATCTTTATCTATGGAAAGTAATAGTAAAATCAAAATACTTTTTTTGTTATGACATTGATGGCCGATAGTTTTATAATCTACACTCACATGTGAATTTGATTTCTCGTATGATTTAGTATTATTTATTTGTGATGGACTTTTCAGCACTTTTTTATTTATTATTTAATTTGTGGTATATAGCTTAACTGGAAAAAAAATTAGAAAATAATTATATCCAGATAAGACTTTTAAATAACATTAACATGTAAAGATATTTATAATAAAAGAAAATGGTAGTAATTTGAATATTGGAATTTCCTATGCATTTATATTTCTTGTTTGAATTATGTTTATTTCCAATTATATATTATACAATCTTTTATGTTAATGTATATGAGCTCTTTTATCTCTTGTGACATATTTCATCCTATATGTGAATTTCTTAATTTGGAAACTGTTCACGACAAAAAAAAAAAAGAGGAAAGATTTTGAAGCTGTGCGACGTCTCAAAAGTCTTGACCGGTCGGAATGTCTGCCGTTTTGGCATTATAATGACGAAAACCATGTCGTTTATTTAGTCGGGAAATTCAGAGTTTTTTTCCATTTTCACCGAAGGAAAAAAAAAACGCAGATTAAAAAAAAAAACGGGAGAGGGTTTTCGTTTCACCGATATAATCTTCTTTCTGCTTCTTGTTTCTCCTTCCTTCTCTGATTGTTGCGACAGAGAAACCACACAGCGACGTTGTTTTGTGCAGATCTGTGAGAGAGATAGAGAGCGATACACGGCGGCGAATATGAGCGGCAAGGGCGGCGGTGGCGGCGGCAGTGTCGGAGCGAGAAAGGGCAATAATGGAATTTCAGATATCCCGTCGGGGTCGAGAAAGATGGTACAGAGCTTGAAGGAAATTGTGAACTGTCCTGAGGCCGAGATCTACGCCATGCTCAAGGAGTGCAACATGGATCCTAACGAAGCCGTCAATCGTCTCCTCTCCCAAGGTTTCTCTTTCTTTTTTCTTATTTTTCTTCGATTTCTCGTGTTCGAACCTTTCTGGTTCTTGTGTGTTTTTCTGTTGAGGGAGTTAATGGAAAATTTAATGGCGGAAAAATTAGGGTTTGCCTGTATACCTGAGAGGTTTTGTGTTGTTGATCGCTGAAATAGTCTGCTGACTGAGAGATTTGTATCAGGATTAGGGTTGGGGTTTTGATTCAAACACTCTTCAGTTTATTCTTTGCGCAATTTTTGGTTAGTGTCGAAGCATCTAGTTCTTCATGGCGGGATTCAAAATTAGCCCCTTTTTGTATTCCTTGCTTTTGGTTGATCGTTTGTTCCTCGCAGCTGGTGAGACATTTGTTGTGTCACCATATTCGCAATCTTAATCTTTTTGTTTAAAGTTATGGCCTCTTGTAGTTACCGCTTGTGTGACATTAGAAGAGCAAAGGGTGCAATTTTTAGGTCGAAGCTCGGCAGCTGCAACTGACTCAACACGATCGCATATAATGTGTTGATGTTTGTCATCTTGTTGCTCTATTGATACAGCTTTATATGTAGATGTGTATATCGCCTTGATTAAGACCTGATTTTTTCATGGTGATACTGCTGCATATGATTCAGTTGTCATTAACTATTGGTTTTTTCATCGCTTTGTTAAAATTAGTTCTTTGTTTGCTTCATGGTATTGACACTTGTTCTTTCATTATTCAGATCCTTTTCATGAGGTGAAGAGCAAAAAAGACAAAAAGAAAGAGGCGAGTCAATGCTGAAAGTTGCACTAATCTTTTTGGCATATAGATCCAGAAACTTATTTCTAGGCCTTAGGTTGACAGTGTTGGCATTTTTAATTGTTACGCAATAAACCTATCTGTTTCACCTGTTATGATGGGAGCCTTCCCCAAACCCTTGCTCAGCGGGATGCTTTGTCCACCGGGCTGCCCTTTTTTTTCATCTGTTAAGAAGTTTTATACCAAGCAGCTTCTAATCTACTTTCTGTTATCCCTCGATCAATTTTCTGCTCTCTTGAACAGCACACATATTCACAACTGGCATCAAATTTTCTAAAGATACTGCCATGTTCTTTTTTTTAACATCTGAAGACATTTGGTGCCTTGAAACGCCATAGTTCAAACTGATTTGTGTTTTTGCCTGGTTGTAGACGTGTTGTAGATGTAGCTGGAATCAAATTATTTTTGTATTTACCTTCATTTTGGAGTGAAATCTTGGTGATTTTTTTCCAACTTTCCATTTTGTTCAGAACAAGGATACAACAGATTACAAGTCGCGTGGTGCTAATAACACTTATAACCGTGGGGCTAGAAGTGGTTCCGATCGTTATGCCGGGCGAGGTGGTGCTACAAACTTCAGCTCTTATGGTATAAACCTGGCGATATTTTTTTTAGCTATTGGAAAAAAGGATCTGGAAATTTACTAGTTTTTTCTAAAGGATACGTGCTTACACGTTTCTATGGTTCAGAATCTGGAAACTTCCAAGGAAAATCTACAAGCAAGAGAGAAGATGGAACAGAGGGTTATGTGGGGACTACATCAGCTGCTTCTGGAGTAATGGGGCGCTATCAGCCATCGCACAGGTTTTCCTTTCAGTGGTGCTCTTTATTTTGCGATTTTCTTAGTGCAATTGCAAAAGTCGACAAATAGCTGGTGATTTTATGTGCTTCGTCAAACTAGTATTTGTGTCAAGACGCTGTGTACTGTGCATACTTATTCGGATTTTCAGTTATGATTGTATCAGTAGGTTCCATTCAGTTGAACATTAGATATAAGTTGCAGCTTCATCGTGAATCTTTAATTTCTTATGATGATGTCTGAAATTTCTATGCTTATACAAAAATAATGTTAGGTTTACTAGAATCAGTGAGAATATTATACTGGTGAGAAGGAATTTTATTATGAGGAAAACTATGGCCATAGTATTGGAATTCTGTATCTCTGTTTACAAAAGCATTCCATTAGACCTTAGTTTACGTTATTCAACATTGCTGTGGTTTTGCTTTTGCTCTTTTTTTTTTTCCTGCAGAACTATGTTTTGTGCATTTTTCTATCTGGGTTGCCAGTCGCTCACATTCATTTCATACTTTTTGCAGTGATTTTGTTGCCATGGAAAATAAAATGTCATCTGTTCACGTGGCCGATGGGATACAGCCATCGCAGTCTGCTTCTGGACATCAACCTGCATGGTTTGGAGCTGCAGGTCAGATGTCTATGGCTGACATTGTGAAGATGGGTAGACCACAAAACAAGACAATGAACCCCCAGCAAAATGTTGATATGCATCCTGAAGTATATAGTGAGCATGAAGTTGCAAATCAGCATGTCCCTATCATAGATGAATGGCCCTCAATTGAGAAGCCAGTAGCTGCTAGCACATATTCACTATCGAAGACACAGGCAGAGTCAGAGTTATGTGCTGATCCATCTGACTTCCAATCCGGTAGAGGAGATCAGCAACTTAAGGTCCAGTTAGAAGAGATTCATCGAGCCGAAACCGGACCACTTGGGAATCTTGGGATAGATCAGCTGCGGCCTGATTCTGTTTCTGGTAGAAACATCCAGGAAGATGACTCTGGAGTTTCTTCTGAGTTTGATGATAATCCATACAGACACGAAATGCAGACCCACCTGGTTGAGCACGAAAATGGTGAGATGAATAAATGTGTCTCTATTGATGACTATAGTTTATGCTTGTACGATTGATGTGATTGATGACCATGTCTCTTGATGTATTGATTATCATCTTGTCTCTCTATGCCTCCTTTTCTCTGTTCCTTCTTGGTGCTAGTGTGGTGTTCTTTGTTACACATGTGAGAAGAAATTGGCTTATAATGCAGGTAGTGGTGTTCTTGAGTCTTTGGCGTATTTTGAAAATTCACATTTTCAACTTTGTTTCCTTCTCTTGATTATTAGTTGCTTCCAGTATGATGTTTATTGTTGTGGACGGGAAAAAATATGAAAAAGCGCATATGAAGATCCCTTGTTGTACTTTGATGGTGTCTTATTCTGTCTCATTGTTATTCTTCAGATGAAGATAATACTTCTTCTGTTGCTGCCAACCTTCAACAATTAAGCATAGAGAATCACGATCATGAAGCTTTGCATGAAGAGGACAGGCCTGGTCTCATAATTCCAGATCATCTGCAAGTCCATGCTCCAGAGTGCTCGCAATTAAGCTTTGGAAGTTTTGGAGGTTTTGGAATAAGGCCTTTAAGCAACCACGTTGAAGAGGCGTCTGATGTAGACCCACAAACCGAACACTCTGATGCTAGGCATGCCTTGACTACCCATTTCTTTTTCTGGTTTATTTTCCTTCTTACTTGCTGTTTTCTTATAATCTAGTATACATGCTTGTGCTCAGAAATACTGAATTCTATGGAGATGAGCATCTTGGGAGCACGAACAATGGAGATATTGGACATGGAGCTAATCCAAGTGCTGGAAATTATGATACTTCAGATTCTCAAGGAGAGATTTTGAAGCAAGAGAACCCCGAGAATGCTCAGGAGCACCAGTACACGTTTACTCAGTCTGAACCAGGATATGCACATGAAAATGCTAAGCAGCAGCTCAATACCGCATTTGATGAATCACAGACAAGCACACAGATGCAGAATCTTGCTTCGCTGTCCAATGTGATGGTAAGCTGCATACGTCACATATGACACTCATCGTGTTAGAAAAAGTCATGCATGTGCAGTTTATACAAACCGTCAAATCTTCATGACTTTAGTAATCGAGCTTGTGAATTGATAACTTTTTAAGATCCCTATTTTCTGTTGAAGATGCAATTCACACTAATTGCTGATCAGGTTTGCGATTCCATTGAAAAACGGGCTTTGTTGTCTGTCGGTTAGTGCTAGGCTCCTGGTGTCTATAAGACCTTGAATGATAGAAAAATCTGTTTAAAATCTGTTTCTGTGTTTTGCTTTCAGCAAGGTTACACAAACTCAATTCCCAACACTTTGTTGACACAACCTGCTCAGAGTGTAAGGGATCTCGAGCTTCAGTACTCACCTTTCCCTGTTGCACAGTACATGCCTTCTCGAAATAGCAGCAACCCTTCTTCATTCAGTGGCCAGAGTATTTCCATGTCAGAGGTAATCCTTTTGTCTCCCGTAGAACATGATAGCATTTTCTTTTGATGTATCTGATATATTTCAGTTCGTCGAGTCTGATTGTGTTTCTTCTGATATAGCTCAGTTCCTTTCATTTGATGGGGCAATGTTTTTCCCTGTTGGTTTGTGTTAACTATGGATCAAAAGGAAGTAGGGTTTCGCTGTTGGTTTGTATTCTGATGATATATGTTTTTTTACATGGTTGCAGGCAATGAGAGGCAGTGGCATTTCTACATCTCAATCAACTCAACAGACCTTACCGGGTGCTAATATTGCTCAAGAGCCCACACTTCCTCAGCAGCTGGCGATGCATCCATACTCTCAACCTACCTTGCCTCTGACCCACTTCCCGAATATGATGGGTTATCCTTTGCTGCCTCAGAGTTACCCCTACATGCCATCGGCTTTCCAGCAAGCATTTGCTGGTAACAGCTCATACCACCAGTCTCTGGCCGCGTTGCTTCCGCAGTACAAAAACCATATTTCTGCGAGCAGTTTGCCGCAATCGGCAACAGGAGGTGCTGCCTCCGCTTACGGGTTTGGGAATTCGAGCAATGTTGGAATCGGAAACTACCCTCTTAACCAACCGGCAGCTCCTAGTGGGACGACGCTTGGTTATGAAGATGTCTTGAGTTCACAATACAAGGAGAGTAATCATCTCTTGTCCCTCCAGCAGCAGCAGCAGCAGCAGGTAATCTCATCTCTTGTCCCGAAATCTTTATATCTTGAGATGAATAGTCAACAACTGGAATAAGAACTGAGAGAGACTGGAGATTAGAAGTGAATATACGAGGTGGGTTTGGTAATGTTGTTTCAGACATGACTCAGTCCTTAACATTTTTCTCTGGACCTAACTATGTCAGAACGAAAACTCTGGAATGTGGATTCATCATGGATCTGCTTCAAGAACAATGCCAGCTGTCCCGAGCAACACATACTATAACCACCTCCAAGCACAACAGAACCAACAGGCATCCTCCGGGTATCGACAGGCGGCGTCTCAGCAGCAGCAGCATCATTATGGATCTCTCGGGTACCCTAATTTCTATCAGTCGCAAACAGGAATGATGGCCATGGAGCAGCAAAACCGGGACGGTGGTCCACAGGGTCAGCCCTCGAAGCAGAACCAGCAGCAGATGTGGCCGAACTCTTACTGACCATAAAAAAAAAGAAAGATAAGGGTTTCTTTTTTTTTTTACTTGTCTTTGTTTTCCCTTTTCTTTCTTTCAATCTTCGGCTATAACATGATCGATAGCTTGTTAGAGAAGGCTGAAGAGAATGTGTTTTCACCATTGGCCTTCCTTTAACTTAGGGAACAAGTAAACTCTAACCCTAATGTTTCTGTCGCCTCTTTTTGATTGTATGTCGTGTGCCCCCCCCCCCCCCCCCCCCC